GTTTAAAAATGTTATCTATTCCTATAATACAAATAGATTCTAAAAAAGCTTATAAACTAGATATATCTATTGCTTTGCGTAAGATTTATTATTATCCTAATAGCTATCAAAGAACTGTGAAAAAATTGCATGAAGCTTCTCTAAAAGCAGGATATAATTTTTCTATCGATGAAATAAGTAATTGGCTTGAAAAACAAGCTTTATATCAGATTCATAAACCATGTCCAAAGTTTATTCCTAGAGCCTCATTTAATAGTATACAGATTTCTAATAAATGCCATCAAGCAGATATTCTTTATATGCTTCATAATATAATTGGGCATAACAAAATATATAAGTATTGTTTATGTATAGTTGATGTTGCTTCCAGATATAAGTGGGCAGTTTCTTTAACAGATAAGACATCAAATAGTGTAGCTAAAGCTTTTAAGAAAGTCTATAGCAATCTTTAGTATCCTCTTATTTGGTCTAAATTATTAATGATTGATTTTGGTTCAGAATTTAAATCAGACTATAAAGAATTAATAGAAAAACCTAATATTGAAATTAAGATTGGCATATCCCATAGAAGTTAAGCTATTGTTGAGAGATTTAATCGCACTTTAGCTAAAAAATTGTTTAGATTACAGGATGCTTTAGATTTATTGTTACCTATCTCCAAAAGATCTAGAGCTTGGGTTAAAAATCTTCTCATTATTATCAATAATCTTAATAATTCAGTAGCTAGACTAATTGGTATGATCCCTGCTAAAGCTATAAAAATGAAGCAAGTTATTGCTATATCTTTCAAATTACAAAATAGGCCTATAGCCTTTAATAAGTCTAAGCTATCATATAATATATCAGTAAGATATTTGCTTGAACCTGGTGAGTTAGAAGGTGGATATATGTGAGCAACTGATATGAATTGGTCTCCACAAGTTTATTATTTTTGTAAAGCTTTGGTACAAAAAAATTAATCTGTACTGTTAAGAAATTACTCTTTCTCGTAAATCTGTAAATCATAGTAATTGTAAACAAACAAATACCTAAGTAGAAATTATACCTTAACTATAAGAAAGAATTGTTCGAACTTGAAGGTCTCTACGCTTCTGCACCTTGATTTAGTTTCTAATCTAACAGAATAGACGAGCAAGACAGTAATTATATCACCTACGAGTTCCCAGTCAGCTTTAAACCACTCCTACGGGAGTCAGTTACCACTATGGCCCAATGCAAATCTATTTTTCAATCTGTATTTGAATCAATCTTTGGCTCTACTTCAACTGATGAACCATTGGTAGACCCTGAAAACCCTCCCTTAACTACATCTGCAACCAACTACTCAACACCTGCCATCGCTAAAAAAAACAACAATAGCTCCAAGTCCCGCCATGCTACCACTCGCCACAACCCCTACCTTAGGGAAAAAAGTGGGCAAACTAGTTTACCCCACCTGCAGATCAGCTAGAACCAGCCCAAGGTCACATGACATCATACACCAAAAACAATACAACAACAAACCCAAATTTAACAGAGTCCGATCCGAGACCCACAACCCCTATAGAAATATTCCCACACTCAATTCAAAACACATCCCTAATTGGAAACAGCAATACGAATC